GGTTGGGGTGGAGGTGATACCAATTAAGTTCGAGCACAACCCAATTCACTTGCCTTGAATTAGTATATCAATCTACTTTTTTCACAATGATTTTGCTCTTTTCCGTACAACTGATTGTGTTAAGAGCATTTAGTCTACAAGCTCACTGCTTCTGCGTTGCAACGTCCGCTCCTTATCTATGTAGTTGTATTATCTGCATAGGTGCTCCATATGAAGAAATTTGACCAAGTATGTCATTCATGATACCGCCCTTAGTTTGGATTTGGCAGTGTTGCTGATGATCCTTGTTTTGTTTCACACGCAGGTGTCCGGCATTTTCTCCAATTCCACATTCAAGGTTTTCTCAGATGCCTTAGCAAGTGGAGGAATTATTAAGGCCTTATGTGTGCCTTCTGGGACAAAAATTTATTCAAATACTTCTTTGAAGAAAGGCGACATATACAAAGAAGCAATCAAATCTGGGGCAAAGGGTTTGCCTTTTTTAAAGGTCTTGAATGGTGGTAATGAAAGTTCTACTTCTGGTTCTCTTTTAGCCTTAGATGAAATTCTTCTTTAAGTTTAGCAACTTTGTGGGGTTAGTCCACTTCCCGCAATGAAGGGATTTGCTCAATAATTGCCATACGAATGAGACAGTTCTTTCCCTCCCCCACAAAAAATTACACATCCATGGCTTCCAAGTAAGTGTGCAGAAGAAAAATTAGGTCCAGGGTGTGGGCCATATCGATATCGAGGCTTCAAGACCTTACACTTTGTGGATGTATCTTCACGTTTCTCTCTCTTGCCTTCCTTATCAGAAAAGTTTCTCTCTTGCCTTATATTGGTTATTTAAAATTTCTCAGGGAGCATTGAAGGGATTCCCCAGCTGGTCTCTAGTTTGGATCCGGAAAAGAAAGAGGAATTGCTGAATCAGTTGTCTGCGGTACCAGATGATCTTATCTTGTTTGCTGTTGGTCACTATGCAGAAGTCAATAAAACTTTGGATCGTCTGAGAACATATGTAGCACACGAATTGGGTTTAATTGACAATGTAAGTTTCTGATGACCAAAATTGGGTCAACATGATGTGTTTATCTGTAGAAGAGCTAGGTTCATGACTAGCATCTTGTATGTCCTAATGTCCAACGTTCTTTTGTTTGTATATCTAGTCCAGGCATTCAATACTCTGGGTGACTGACTTTCCAATGTTTGAGTGGAATGATTCAGAACAGAGATTTGAGGTATGTATGGTGCCTAGAATTATCTTCCATGATATACGTGCACGACTAGTCCATCAGTCATTTTGCTTCTTGGCCTTAGGTGGTTTACTTTTGAATATCAAAGAGAAGTAAAATAAGCGAGCCCACGGTGTCCTTTATTATTGTGAGGTATAGTGCCCTTTTAATGATGCAAGAGGTCCATGAAAGAAAATCACGGAAGAACTCAATGTTTAATTACCAAAGGAAAGGATTAAAGAGCACCAAAAGATCTCAATGTTTACATATAATGCTACTGCTTTAATAGACAAAAAAAAAAAAACATTTAATGCTACCACATACTTGGCTCGTTTGTTGGTGAATGTGAGCTTCACAATTATTTTATGTGGTATTGCTCTTACCTGTTACATCCTTACTAGCTGGAGAGATACAACCCTCGTGTTTTCAATGGCCAAAATAGTTTATCATGATCCTACCCTGTCAATGGCCAAAATAGTTTATCATGATCCTGCCCTGATTTTCTCTAGTATGCATTCCTTTTTCCAGTACCTCAAAACTCTACATATCAAGATCTAGAAGACGCAGGTCAATAAATCCATACCAATCACGAATTCTACCTCTAGAACTCTCACCAGTAGCATAATATTGGCATGAGATGATTTAAATGGAGTATTATAGTCAGTGAGGATTCATATAGCCGGCCCAACTTGTTTGGGATTGAGGCGTAATTGTTGTTGAATAAGAAATGTGACAACAACCCAAGATTCTAGAAATTTGTATTTCGCTGCTTTTGAAGATTATGAGCGAATTAGTGCCTTACATTAATCTAGCAAGGATATCCTTGATTTGCATTTAAGTTGTTTCAATCAAATAGTGGCATTTTTCAAGAAGGGGAGCCTCAGAGGGAACCTTGGAGTAACGGTGAAGTTGTCTCCATCTGACCTTTAGGTCATGAGTTCGAGCCGTGGAATCAACCACTGATGCTTGCATTAGGGTAGGCTTCCTACATCGCACCCCCTTGGGGTGCGGCCCTTCCCCGGACTTTGCGTGAACGCGGAATGCTTCGTGCGCCGAGCTGCCCTTTTGGTGACATTTTTCAAAGACTAATCTGTTTCTCGGTTATGATATCTTGTTAAGTGAAGTGACCACAATTTTCCTACAGGCTTTGCATCATCCTTTCACCGCACCTAATCCAGACGATATAAATGACCTCTCCTCTGCCCGTGCCTTAGCTTATGACATGGTTTACAATGGAGTTGAGGTACATGAATTCGTGCTCTCTTTACTAGCTGCTTCAGTGAGAGAAGATAATCATGTGATGGAGATAAATTATGTTCTGTTGTTACCTTACATCTTGAATTAGATTGGTGGAGGAAGCTTGAGAATTTACAAGCGTGAAGTCCAAGAGAAGGTTCTCAATATTGTTGGCATTTCCCGAGAACAGGTAAGCTGACTCCTTTGGTTTGCATTGCATTTGGTGGCTGTCCAGTTGTATAGAATACTCCAGATATGCACTCTTTTTGTTTGTGGCAGGCTGAAGCAAAATTTGGCTATCTTTTGGAGGCTCTGGACATGGGTGCTCCTCCACACGGTATTACAGAATTCTTTCTGTTGTTTGACACTATATTTGTGCTGCTAATCAAATGTTACAGAGTTTTTATGTGAATGCTATATTATGAAGAACTACCTTCCCTATCCGCTATGACAGATATAGCTGGATTTAAACTTCTATAATGTCATGGTGATCTTTTCTCATGATTTTCGGTATGGCATTCATTGATGTAGACCCCTGGCCTTGAGGAATTGATCTGTCCCTTTGGAGCCAAAGGGACAGCTACTGCTATTGATTCTAAAGTGGAACCTCAAACCTGAACTCGAACGAATTGGAGCTTTTCTCCCCAGGAAATTTCCTTGGTATACATAATACCTGTGTTGATCTTACCTAATTCGTTAAACTATTTTTAGAGCAGTTGCTTCTTCAGGGTTTTAGTTTCTATTATGATGTTATTTGGCCTGAGAAAATCTTGCTTGGTTCGTGTGGGTGGTACTTAAAATTGTATTTACTCACGGTTGTTGCAGGAGGAATTGCTTATGGGTTGGATAGATTGGTGATGCTCTTGGCTGGCACTAATTCCATCAGGGATGTTATAGCTTTTCCAAAGACAACAACTGCTCATTGTGCCCTTACTCGTTCACCATCAGAGGTCGATCCACAGCAGCTTAAAGATCTTTCATTACAGAAGATGTAGGTTCTTGATTTGTTTTTGAAAGTACTATGTACCGGAAAAATTGGTGGTGAAAAGGAGATGTTGGCTAGCTGGGACAGGGGTAAAGTCCTGAGATGTTAGAGGAAATCCTGGGATTATGGCGACATTGTTATGCTAAACAATTTATTGCAAGTAGAAGAGGCGCCATCGTTCCACACAGTTTTTCTTTGAAATATTACATTGTAGCAGCAAAATCATTAGGTTCCAGTTTTCATTGCTGAGAGTAAAGATGTTACTCTGATTTTCTGATTGTCTGCTTTGTTGACAATACTGATAAAGGAAAGCGAGTCTTTTTAATAATGTAGATAATTATTCGACCTTGGAATATTTGGTGAAGTTGACTTATAGTGCTGTCTTGCCCGAGTATCAAAGTAAAATATGGACCTTTTTTCTTTCACGTGATTGTTGGCTATGCAGCTATCTGCTCTTGTCAATTATTATTATTATTTTTTAATCTTTATCTTTTGTATTATTTTTCGTTGCTGCTGAGTGTTATTTTTCCTCATAAAACCTAATCCCAATCCTAATACTCACGAAATAAAAGAATTTGTAATAAAAAACCTAAGCTTTAACGTGAAATAAATATAATTTTTATAAATCCAAATGCCCTCGCACGCTTGATGTGACACATTTTCTATCTCTCTCTCTATGTATGTATATATCAACTCATTAAAAAAAATTTACTAATAAATTGATCGATACTTTTTGAAAAATTATTCATAAATGGAAAGTCGTGTTATTAAAATAAAAGGTTATACTGATCATTTAATATATTCTTTTTAATACGTTTCTTCAACTTGTTCTCAAATTATAAAATGGTGGTCAAGTGCAATCCAATAACATAATTCTAATTAATAAAAGTATGCATTGTCTAATTATGATCATTAAGGATTAGCGCAGTCGAGACAAAAAAACGATGAATGAAGGCCAAATGGGTTTGGCTCAAATCCTTTTAAAAAAGAAAGTAACATAAATTTCTGGACTCCCAAGTTCCTCAAACAATTACGTAAACAACGTATTAGCAAAACAAAAGGTTATATTGAACATTTAATATTTCCTCTTTTTAAAATTATTTTTAACTTGTTCTCAAATAAAATGCTGGTCAAGTGCAGTCCAACAACAAAACTCAAATTAATAAAAGTATGTATTGTCTAATTATGATCATTAAAATTAGCGTTGGCAATACAAAGAAACAATGAATGGAGGCAAAATGGGTTTGGTTCAAATCCTTCAAAAAAAGAAAGAACATAAGTTTCTAGACTGCCAAGTTATTTGAATTCATTTACCTAAAACAATTACAATGAGAATGAAAAATCACAGTTTCTTACATAAAGCTCTTGGTGTTGAGACTCAAAATCACCAATTTCTTTGTTTCTCAAATCTCGAGTGTTTAATTACCCATGGCAAAGGGTCGCCAAAAGGTTGATATGGTGAAGATGCAGAACGAGAGTAATTTGCAAGTGACTTTCTCTAAGCGTCGTGCTGGTCTCTTCAAGAAGGCTAGTGAACTTTGTACACTATGTGGTGCTGAAATAGCCCTTGTGGTATTTTCCCCGGGCAAGAAAGTTTACTCATTTGGCCACCCTTGTGTGGATTCAGTAATGGATAGGTTTCTCACAAGGAACTCTCAACCAAATAATGGCCATAACCAGCTCATTGTGGCTCATCGAAATGCTAGTGTTCGTGATCTCAACATGGAGCTCACGAACATTGAGGGGATTCTCCAAATGGAAAAAAATCGTGGAGAAGCCCTACAAGCAAGGAAGAGAGATAACGGTCATTAGTGGGAAGCACCAATTGAAGAACTTAACTTTTTTCAACTGCAACAACTGAAGGATGCATAAAGAAAAAGGTTGAAAGAGAGGCACAAAACCAACAAATGGTGACTAGTAATGCATTCCCATTTCTCACCTTT